TTGCTAGTCCCTTTGACTGAAAAGTAGACAAATGCCAACAGCATAAATGCAAAACCTTGCCCACATGTGCTTCACTGACTCATTGAGTAGAGGATATTAAGAGAACTAAACACAAACATTTCATTCATGAAAGCAGCTTCTCAAAGCCAAAAGCTCTTAAGAAAACCAGCAGATGTGACTCTCCTACTTCCAGGAATATTGAGTGGGAAAGCATCTATCCACAGGAGTAAGTACTCAAATTCATCTGGAACAAATTAATTTCATAACAATCCTTGTTTTAGAATAAAAATAGTATAAGTCCCCTCATGCTAAACGACGACAAAGTGGGGAATTTAAAATTGAGGACAACAGTTTGTATGCAGCGTTACACAATTTTTAAACCATCAATTATTCATTAACATATGCTAGATGCACCTTTGAGATAGGATTCTAAAAATAGGGGCTTCCTGGTAGTGATGCATATTGCAGATGCAAGATGCAGATTCTTGCTTTATGAAAACTTAATGCTAGAAAAACCTTATCTTGCAATAGTCGATAGGAGTAAAACTTCTGCCAACATACTTGCTTAAAAGCCCAACTAATTATCCTCTCATTTCTAGCACAGCAAATTATACATTTTTACCCGAATCTACAACTTTTGGTGGCAGGAAAACCTGAAGCAAGGCAGAATCAAGACTTTTGCTTGTGAATATCTTCACAAGACTACAATATCACCCATAATTTGTTTGAGGCTCACGTTGTCAAATGAAACATCTTTGTAAAATGAACAAAGCAAAGAGACATACACATTTCTGAAGCATCCTGATATTATTACTAGGTGCATATTTTACTTTGAATCATTTGGAATAAATTTTGTTTATCCAAAGGCTCTTTTCTTATTCATTGACAAGAAGGAGATTTGACTGAATGATACTGTTTTTTGGAAGATTTATGTAAATGATTGTATGCAAGCCAATTAGAGCTGAGAAACTTTGTGGCAATCATCTTTAAAACTGCAGCTGTTGTAAAACCAATGAAAATTAAACAGCATGTTTTATATATTGCCACGCCAAGAGAATAATCCATAATAAATTCTGCAAAGCAAATGTGGAAATCTGACACTTTCTCGAGTGTCTGCATGCCTATACGGGTAACTTAGAAAATGTGTTTTGTGACACTCACCATGCACTAAAGTCACAATGCACCAGATAAAATGTAAGCTCATCCATATGCAAACATTCATTAATAATCCTCAGAGATCTGCTATCTCACTATAGCAGATCTTGAAAAACAGTTTTGTGAGGAGCTAAGAAACTTAAAAATGTAGCTTCAGAAATCAATGTAGTACGGAATCAAAATAAGACCAAAATTCCAATTTTTCCCCAAAGGTAAATAAATTTAAATACAATTTGGCATCTCCGAAGTGTTGCATTTTCTCAAAAATCAGTGTTCTCCAATTTATTTTTTTTATGCTATAATAATAAGCTTTTGAATGCTGAAATTAGCTACATCTTACTTGCAAAATGAGTGTTTGTCATACATGATTAGTTGGTACTACACAGAACTGTCTTGGCAGATGAAAGAATATCACTTGAATCTCCAAATTACTGCTGAAGCTGTTGGGTTCTCTTCCTTCAATGCCTTGTCTCTGATGTTCCAATCCAGCAAGAATTGTGCACATAAACTCTTTCACCACATTTTTATAATGACAATGCCCACTGAAATTCACTTTATGCACACTGAATAACCTACATAAAAAATGTATTTTGAGATAACATACAATTAATAATAGTCATGGAATTTGGCCTCTACAGCAACATCTACAAAAAGAACCTTCTGTTTCCCTAGGACCACACAAAAGAAAACAAGTATAGCATCAATGTTTTTTCCCTGAGCACTACTAACATTTCCTGGACAATGTTTTAGTTCAAGACTACCATATGCCTCTAATTATTTACTGATTAGAATTCTTGCATGAGCCATTATGCTTCTACATTCTAATTTTGCTTTGGAAGGTTGTAGGTTCAGTTCAGATGTAAAAGGGCTTCTAAACAAATGCTTTTACTTTGTCTAGTGTCAGAAAAACTAAAACTAAGTGGAATCTTGCACACTGTCCTGCACAACATAGTGACATACAGTTAATTTAGCTGCAGCTTTGTCTCATTTTTAAAACATGCTAATTACTTCCAAGCACTATAACCAGAACCTCCTGGGATCCTCTGAAAATTGACAAGTGGGTCAAAATATCACCCAGAGACATTGGCCTCAACAGACAGTAAAGTTCTCTTCAATGAGAGGGAGACAGCAACCACTATGTCACCAAATTCATCTAGAGTCATTGTAGGCAAGAAAAATGCTTCGTCATGTTACAGAAATGTTTGAGATGTCTCAAACTTAAATGGGAAAAAATCAAAAGCAAACACGCTGAAGGCTCAATTGCCCACGTCTGAGACATTGGGTTTTCTGTTCCCTTCAGGAGGGAGTCTCATCCATCTTTTTTTCTTTATGGAAGCAGTTTTGATGCAGGGAGTAGAGCAACCTAACCTCAGGGGCACGCCCAGGTAAGATGAATCATTTTCTTTGTAACTGTTCATTTCCACTTGTAGAGCCTCACACCTATTGTGCAAGGGCATCTGAAAAGGGAAGGACAGAAGGCAAGAACATCTGGAAAAGATGGGATTTTTGCACATTCAGGTTCCTTAGCTGGTCTTAAACCTGATCTTCTCTTAAGGGGCATTTAAGTGGGCAATTTCCCAGTCCCTGCCTTTAGACTCTGGAATTGGGTGACATGACTGGAGCACTTGCTAGTGAGGACTGAAGGAAAAAATGTTGTCGAGTATCTCAGTTTTGTACGTGTCAGTCACAGACAGGTCCCCTGTTTCCCACTGATCAGGCAGGGTGCAGTCTCTTTCTCTTCCTTTTTTGTCCTAAGTACCTAAGAAAAACTATTTGTTATTTTTAATTCCCCTAGCCAGGTTCAGTTCCAGATGTGCCCTCACTTGCCTGATTCCTTCCATGCACCCTGACTTTTTCTCTTCAGTATTTAATTTTATTTTCAATTTGCTTTAACCTTCAGCTGTGCCATCAGTTTTTTTGTTATTGTTGTTATTTCCTTAGGAAACATCTTCTAAGTATCATACAGCCTCAAAACCCATACAATTTTTGTTCTGTTTTATAGCAATCAGGTGTCTCAGGAAAGACATGCAGCAACTTTCCCTTTTTTTTCCAAATTTATTTCCTATTCTACATATCCCTTGGGATACAAATCAACAAAGAACCATGGACTTCATTAGCACAGTTTACAGTAGATAAAGATCTGGTGTACAGATGGGGCTTTTATTCCAACCTCTCCAGTAATGTCTTTCCTTAGAAGGAAAAGGAAAAGTTAATGCACTTGGACTGCTCAGCACAGGCAATGACCAGCTATTGTAAGAGTGACTCTACAGGTCACACTGCTTCAAGATAGAAGAGAGATCTTTTGCCTTATTTCCAGTGAAAGATAGATTTAGCAGCAAAGTCCATCCCTTCTGAACACAGTAACTGGAAAAGATGCAAAAGCTAAAAGTAGGATGAGCTAACAATGCCATGGTATGCAAGGCTAAACTGGAACAGAGATCACATGAGTAATGATTCGTGTGGATCTATCCCTGCTCAATCACAAGGAGCTCTATGTAGTATGGACTACATCACACCAACTAATGGGGCAATTGCACCATTTGGGATGGTTTTAGGGATGTAGTGGCTTTAATTCTACTTTTTTAACCTTTTACTGAAAAACTGACTTCCAGCATCAAATACTGTAATATTTTGCTAGTCTCTCCTACATTTTGGGGTAGGGAACCCAATGGTCAGAAAATGAGACAGACACTGCTGAATGTTTGCCTGATCTATCATTCAAACTAAACCTACTTCCAGAATATCTGGAAAAGTTTCTGGATCATCCTGATCCTGTAGCACATTCACATGGTGACAGTAGACAGGTAGTGTACTTAATCCTGTACAGATTTTAAAAATCCTCATTTCCTAGGAAGGCGAAAATTTTCCATAAAAACAAATTTTAAAAGCCTGACTTTAAAAACTTCTTACAAATATCTCGGGCTTAGCTTACAACCCTGCAATGACATCTCATGGCTCCATAATAGTTCCAGCAGGGAACACATGCTGGCAGAGAACACTGGCAGAACTGAGGGACACAAATATCTACATGTAGCAAACTGGGTAGCTGGCATTGCTGTGGGATGATCCAACCCCATTAGCTGGTAACACCAGACTCATTTATCCTCCCAAATAAACCTAATACAAAATACTGCCTGTTACAGGATACTTACATCTGTTTGTATACAGGCTTGCCTTCATGACAAGGATGCCAGTTTTAAATAAAAGGATGGAATGGATGTGGAAAATAAAATTACAAGAAACTAGGCAGGGATTAATAAAGTTAAGGAGCAGGGTCAGAGGAGCAGCAGTAGCTGCTGGAAAAATTGATTCCTACCCTTCCTAACGCAGACAAGCTACCATGCCAAGAGGTCAATGCCTTAGGTAGCCACCTGTTTCAAGGGAAAAAAAAAAAAAGACAGTCTCTTAGTTTAAGAAGCCTGGAGCCATCACATGAATATCATTACAGGGACCTTCATACTTGCATTGCAGAAGCCAGCAAGAGGTTAATCAATTCCATGTATTAATAAAGTTGACATTTTCTTACAAAGAAAAACTATTAAAATGCTCAGTCAAAACTGAGGAATAAACCCATTCCAGTCTAATCAATCACTGCATCTGTATACCTTCTCAAAATTTAATGCAAGATCAGTCTTTATTCCTTAATAAACTCAAAGCACAATATCATTTTCCAGGTCAAAAGAAACCACTGTATAATTTATTTTCTCATGATGAATAGCAGAGCTTTTAACTAGGTCTCTTGGGAACCTGTTTTGGAGGTTTTTTTTCCGGTGCTGGGAACATTAAGGTACTTAATAAATGGAAACAAACTGGAGAGGTAGAGGGAAAGAAATAGACAGGCTTACCTCATTGTAGCTGAGGGTAGCTTTTGAGCACAATACAGTTTTTGTGTCATTATTTTTAAAGGGATCAGACTCAGGCTTATGGTGAAAACTCCGCTGTCCCAGCATGCCACCCTTGCATCATTCATTCTTTATTTCAGTGGCTTAAATCTTCAGCATGTCTTCAGGGTCTTGACCTGAGTGTGTGTGCACTGTCTAGAAGAACACACAATGAGCTTTAAATAAGCTCTATTTCTGTTTCATTAGTTTTGTGACCTACTACAGATATTGAAAATTCTGAGTATTTAAAAACAGGCAATGCAAAAAAAGTAGAACCTCTAAAGCTTTAACACCCAAAGGAAATAATATAAACTTTAAGGCTATAGATTATGTGTGCTCTTTACACTCCTGGCTTTTGACACAGGTCATTATTGAACTCAATCCTTGCTGTGGCAGTTTTGGTATTGAGTGAAAATTACTTGGATTTCAATCAGAGGACACAGGAAGAAAATCCTCAAATACACCCCCAGCTTCCAGGGAAATATGTTTTCCTCCTCTGGCAAACATCAGTTTTCATACAAAAGAAAGGAAATTAGAACATCTGGCAAAGTGAACTCTGCTATGTTCCTAAGAATGGAGAGTTCATTGAGATCTGTTTAACTGGAATACTTCCCACTTGGCTGGTACATAAAGATGAGATCAGATTAATAAAATATGCACAGTTGCACACCTTTACTACTTCTCTTGATTTCCCTTTATTACTTCATAACACATATCATTGTCCATTAAACATTTGTTTTGTTTGGGTTTTACTTCTGTTCTTGTGACTTACTGTTTGAAGATTTTGATATATTGAAGAGCCTAACTCTATTGCAGGGCATCATATGAGACAGAAAGAAGCAGCAATGTTTGCATTTGACTGGACAACACAGACCCTTCAAGACCATGTATTTCTTTTCCTGCTTTTTTCTCTCCTGTCTCCATTGAAGTAAAATAACAGTGTTTTCAGAGATTAGCAATAACTTTGCAGATTCATCCAAGCACAAAGCAGGATAAAAAGGATAAATGAAAGGTATGGAAAGACATCCAAACATAAAGTGACTATGCAGACTACTGGAAAAAAATAGAAAGAGAGTGCAGATATGATGGGTGTTTATAAAGCCATGAGCAACTTGGAGAGAGTGGCTCTTCAGCAAAAGGACAGGATATCAACTGAAGCTAGATGCTGGCAGATTCACAGCAAGCAGAATGGAGGCTCAAGTACTGGGTGCTTAAATTGTGGAATGCTTTGCAGCAGGGTGCTGGGATTGCTAAAACATCAGATATGCACAAAGAGACAATGAATTGAAAGTAAATTAATCAGAAGGCATTGAAAACCCACCTTTTATCACTAGAAATCTCTGATCCTAGATCGTTACTACATTTCTGCTGGGTTCTTTTCTCTCACACAGACTTTCAGGGATAGTGCAAAAATTATTCTAAAAAAAAATTTATGAACCAAGGATTGGCACAATTTTTTGATGAAAATTTTATCTTCATACAGAACACAAAGATTCCTCTTGGGACTCAAGTTAAAATCATTGCAGAGAGCCTGAAGTTAAGCTCTAACAACAGGATCCACTTTAAAAAAAGTGTACGCACACGTCACTTGTAAAACACAGCAGAAAGACAATTTCCTGCAAGACACACTGGGGATTTTTTGCCCAAAAAGGTTATAACTTCCAGGCTGCTCCAGTTCCAGTTCTAAGCTTCTTCTTTGTTTCTAGGCAGCAAAACAGTCAAAGAAATGTCCACCTACCAATGCTGTTGGAGGTCTAGTTCTGTTTTCCAGACAGTGCTCACTGCCAACTTCCTTGCCTGACGTACTTTAAAAATAAATAAAGCGCAGGAATTGTCTTAGTTCTGAGGCACATTTTCATATCATTATGCTGTTCACTTGTCTGAGGCAGACACAATTTAGTTAAAAACCAAACACCTTATTGCCTTTTAATCAGGAAAAATTCAATGTATAAGTAAAACATAATAAAAATGAGACCATCACATGCAAAGCCACTACTATGTGGAAAGGTTATAGGATATAACAGCCAGATCGGAAGTGACATTTCCAGGTCATGGTTTTCTGTCCTTAGTTCCTTCTGATTGTACTCAGCCATTTTATTTTGGTAGCTCAGAGCATGCTGCAGCAATGCAGATTATAAAACCCACTACATGCTAGACTTTATTCAGTATTGTTTTATCACACAGTTAAATCCTGTACAATGGTCTCACAGGACTAAAGGGAGACTCTGTGCAGAAGGAAAAAAAAAATTAGGTTTGCATTTGAAAAATGGACTAGATTTTTTGGCAGGCTATTTTTTTACTAATATCTGGAGAGTTATGGTTAGGATAAGAGATTCACATGCAGTGTACCTACACTTTCTCTTGTTCCAGCTGTACAAAGACTTATCTCCATGAGCAACTTAATCCTAGTGAAATTTTCAAGGGTAAAGTAAAAGTTTAGGATTTGCAATAACTGAATGGGGCCCACCATTACATACACATTGGTCTCCTCAGGACTTCAATGTCTTTTTTTTTTTTTCTGCTGCATTCCTATGCAATATAAATGACATTATCTTAGCACTCATCATGGAATCTGCCTGCTGCCTGCCTAATAACTGCTTAGAACAATGTTTCTGGCCTCCTTTAAAAATACAAACTCAAACAAATAATGTAATTTGATGATTGATGAAATCATGTAATTTGATTTAAAAATGGAAAAAATCTGTAGGAAAAACTGGCTTGACTGAGTACAAGTCTATTTACGCACACAGGGAAAGACTGGAGAAAGCTGAAAATGTACACTTGGTATCTACTACAGATGCTATCAAATTTGTGCTCTGCATCAATTTATGAGGAAAAATTTTCTCAGAAAAGTGACAATTACCAAGATGCGTCAAAACTGTCTCAGAGCTATTGTACTCCATCCTCCCATTACAATTATTCTGAGCCGTTTTTCCTCATTCCTTCATGTACATTTCCCCATTCCTTCATACACATTTGTTCTTTTCACCTAGATTATATAGATTAAGGACATGAACATGTTTTTACCACAAAGCTATCTCCAAAATTCAGTCAGATGTCATTAGTACAGTAATGAAGTTCATTCATGAAGGAAAAGGTTCTTCAAACATCATGTATCTTTCTCACCTGGAAGACAGTTATAAAGAATATGGTTATTTGATGAAATTCTGCAAGAATGTACTTTAATGAAGAAGCATTACTTTAGTTAAAGCAAAATTTCAGTTTTTAATTAGAGTAAGCACATCAAGCAAAATAATTGAATTTTTACAGACCAACTTCATTAGCAGTATTGGCAGGAGGATAAACTACCCAGTCCTGTATCAAACCATCTTACTTAAAAGCCACAGAAACCATTACTGTGATCCCAAGAATTTCCCTAAATAATCAGCCTCCCACAGTCCACTGAGCTGACCTTGTTAATCAAGTCCAATGGATGTGAATGTTCTTCAAACTTTCACCATTGTTGGGCATTTCCATACTTATATCAAAGTGGGTTATATTTCAACTTTCATCTATCCATATGTATTAGAATCATTAAACTTGCTAACAAATCAGAGAGTGCAATCAGAACCTGAGTACAATGTGAGATTTGGGGGGCAGGGTGGGGGTGTGTAGATTGTACTCAAGACAGACCAATCATGCACCTGAAAGACACTTGAGAAAGTCTCAAACAAGGGTATTATACACAAGCAAAATTACTGTTAGGGAAGGTCAAGTACAAAGTCAATGAACAGTGCCCCATGTACATTACCCTCTAAAAGACAATATGCACAAAGCAGTTTTACCTTCTCACTGATCTCACTATTTAGTGTTGCTTTCACACAGTACTTGACACAGCACAGCTGATACACATCAAGTTCAGAAACTTAATTTTGCTCATAAAACGGCAAAAATATGCTCTTACACAAACCTGCTTCCAACAGAAGACAACATTCTTAATACCCAAACCTACATGAGAGCAGCAGCCACAGGAACATACAAACTGTACATGAAGGACAACCCACAGGAGCCATCTGTGGTTTCTGACCTATGTCTCCTTGATCAGCAACAAGGATCTTCAACAAGGGTCTTCCCAGCCAGATTCAGCAATTACCAGCTGAGGCAGCAGAGATTGTTTCCTTCTGCAGCTGTGGATTTAGCTTAGCCCAGGGTACACCCTCTGCAAAAAGAAGAGGGTAACCCTAGAAAGGGAACTTGAAATCCATGTATCCTAAATAAAAAAAAACCTTCCAACAGATTTTAAGTTGTGCCTTACATATGTAATATCAAGCAGTAACTAACCCAGTCCAACTGACTGCCTCAGTTTTACTAAGTTGCCTGTTAAAAAATTTGAGGAAGAATATTTGTAATAATCTCTTTATTATGCAATAAAATCTTTATTTGTAACAATCTCTTCTTTCTCCTCAAGCTCATCTCTTTATGAATACACTGGGGTATAAAAAACTGGGTTTTAGTAGTGGTGGGGGGGTTGCAGGAGTGGTCTCAGTGAAAAGTGTTATGGGGCTGCTTGTGTCAAAAACAGCTGAACCAGCAATGGACCCACAGCACAATGAAGGCAAGACAGACAAACTTTGTTACACCTCTCCAAAAAATATTTTTAAAAAAGGCAGAAAAATCTAACAGTGAGAGTACCAGTGTAAGGTGAGCAACAAGGTCATGGCATGCCATCAAGTGCATGGACATGCACCAAAGCTTGCCCAAGAGATACCCATTGAAATTGCAAGATTTGGTTTCCCTTTCCCCAAGGAAATGAAAACAGAATCTTGCAAAACAGAAAAGAAAGGCTTAGAAACAATCTGGAATGGAGATAGGATCAAATGAAATGCAACTGAAAAAACCCAAAAAACCCCAGAAAATTGGGAGATTAAGTGCCTTCAAAAAATGGTTTCTGAGGAAATGAGGTGCAGTGCAAAGGACCAAAAGAGGCCAAAACTAACCTCACAGATGTTGCAAAAGCAGGGGAAAAAATCAAGGGAAAAAATCAACTTGGAGGGGAAGATATGAGGGACACAGCATGGATATTTAAAAAGAAAAAAAAAAAGAATCTTCGGTGAAGGGAAAGCCATGAAAAAGCATGGCATACCATCAAGTGCAGGGACATGCACCAAAGCTTGCCCAAATTGATCCCCATTGAAATCACAAGATTTTGTTTCCCTTCCCCAAAGGAAATTTCTTTTCCTTTGTGGAAGGGAAACGGTATCTTGCAAAACAGAAAAGAAAGGCTTACAAACACTCTTACAAGGAGATAGGATCAAATGAAATGCAATTTAAAAAAATTAAAAAAAACAAAAACCCACAGAAAATCCGGAGATTTAGTGCCTTCAAAAAATGGTTTCTGAGGAACTGAGCCACAGTGCAAAGGACCAAACCAGGCCAGAATGAACCTCACAGATGTTGCAAAAGCAGGGGAAAAAATCAGAGAGGAAGACAACTTGGAGGGGAAGATAGCAGACACATGGCATGGATACTTTAAAAAAAAAAAATCACTGATTCACTAATAAAGCTATGAAAAGTCACAGCATGCCATCAAGAGCACAGACATGCACCAAAGCTTGCGAAAATTGATCCCCGTTAAAGGCCAAAACAGAAAAGAAGGATTTACAAACAGTCTGGAATTGAAATACCATCAAAGGAAATGCAATTGCAGAGAAAAAAAACGAAAATTGGGAAATTTAAACACTACAAGAAAATGGACCGGGATTACATCAGGTGCAGCGCAAAAGACCAAAAGAGGCCAAAACTAACCTCACAGATGATGCAAAAGCAGGAGAAAATATCAAGGAGGAAGACACAGCTTGGAGGGTAAGATATGAGGGACATGGCATGGATACTGAAAAAAAAAAAAAAAAGGAAAAAAAAAAAAAAAAAAAAGGAAAAAAATCTTCCCCAAAGCCATCAAAAGGCAGGCCACATGCCATCAAGTGCAGGGACATGGGACATGCACCAAAGCTTGTCAAAACTGATCCCCATTGAAGGCTGAAACAGAAAAGAGCCACTCCATGCTGGAGGAGGGACAACCCCAAAGGGACTGGAGTCAGCGGAGAACTCCCACCAGAGCAAAGCACACAAGTAAACACAGCAGAAGAGTAGAGGAACAAGGAGGAACAAAGAGAAACTTACACACTGACCTCAACTCCTCCATCATACATCACCCTCTCTTAAAATCCTACATGTAACTTGCACTCACAAGAGGGGAGGGGAGGTGTCTGCAGTGAAGTTAAGCCCAGAGTAGGGGGAGGAAAAGTGTTTTCACAAAGTGTTTAAATGTTTGTTATCTTTGTTTCCCAATGCCCAAATCATTAACTAAAGGTTTATGTTAATGGGCAATAAATTAATTTAATCCCCAGCTGGAGTATGTTTTGTCAACAGTAACGGGTGAATGATTTCCTTGTCTTTATCTTGACTCAGGAGTTTCCTCACTCCTGTTCATCTGTTTTCTCTGTCCCTCCCCCAGCCCTCTCCTGTTGTGGAGGTACAAGTGTGAGAGCTTGGCTGCAAGCTGATGCCAACCCATCACGAAGAGGAATGTGTCTAGGGTTTTAAATTTTTAATTACCTGGGAGCACAAATTTGACAGTATTACAAGCTGTTTCAGTAAAGGACTTCCTTGATTAAATTCAAGTTTCTTGCAAATAACATTATTCATGCTAATTAAAATGCCTTCGTAGGAAATGAGAAAATAAAGAGCACCAAAGGAACCTTTAAAAAAGGCCCACCTTGCCCAATGCATGGAGTCTGAATTTTAATTTTTCTTCAAAAAGGAAATTAAATATCAACCAATACTAACCCTTTAAGAGTTGTTTCTGGTAAAAATTTTATACCCTATAAAGAATAAGACTTTCTTTACAGAAATGTTTTTCAACTGATGACAGAGACCCATTTGAGCATCTATTTTATAACTTTTCTGTCCTTGAAACTGAGAAAATTAACTAAGGCTATGTTAAATATTTTGATATATTTCTCTCTTCTCTTCCCTCTTTCTATAATAAGGATCACAGTTCCTGTCGCCATGACTGTTTTGAAACAGATGGCACAAATTACAGCCCAGAAAGCTGAGAACCGGTGTTTTAAAAGTGTGAGGAACATTTTGCTTTTAGAAAGTTGTATTACTTTTTGCAGTAAACTAACAAATAAATTTTGGAGGACTGCAATGATCTCTGCTGAAACTGCATTACTTACTAAAAAAAATCTACAGAATCTTTAGTAAAATAATTTTGTATTTCATACTTTTATTTCTCTAGTGTTTGGGGGACCAATATTTCTGACCAGTCTGAATACTGGATGTTTGACTATAAAAACCAAATCTAATTCTTTGTGAGGGAGTCAAGAAAACTTCAAAACAAAAATTAACTCAAGCAACTTTAACCACACTGATAGGTAAATCAGAGTCAAACTAAAAATGTATTTTTAAAATTCCTGTTCCTTTACCCATACAAAAAATTCTAGCTTCAATCTAATCGTAGATGGACACCTAGTGGTATAACATAATTGATTCCTTTATTCAAATAGTTTCATAAATCCAAAGCCCTGTGAATAGAAGGGATTTCTAGCATATTAAAAATTAAAATATCATATACAATCCTTAAGACTTTATTTTCATCTATGCTTTTCCTGGCATCTTATTTTCATAAAAGTACTATCTGCAGCAATCAGGGGTCTGGCTTCATATTCAGAAGCCTTCAATTAAGGAAAATTTAATTTTGTACCAAAAGATTTTAATATAATCAATAGGTAGGGGCTTCAGTCCTTAAAATAGAATACTTAGATAGCCTATGTAACAATAAATTTGTGGTACTTTGCACAAAATTAAACCAAGATCAGTTAGTCTGATTAAGAACACATTTTATGCACTGGAGAATATAAACAGACTTTCTCTGGAACAGCCAAGCAAACAGTGCTCACAAATATAGATATAAGGTGTTGCTCCTAGATAGCGGAAAAATGTGGGCAAAGTTTCCCTAAATTATTGCAGATTCCATTTAACACTTGTGTATACACATTCAACAAGCTATTGATGAAACAGGTATTGATATTCAAAGATGTTCTGAACAAACAGCAGCCATTCTTTAGCGAGCTATTTTACCATCCTTAGCTTCTTGTCACTTTTCTCCATTCCTCCAAGTCCTAGATCTCCCCAAGTCTTTAAAATATAAACCATCACATGTCTAAAATAGATTAACCTGACAAATTATGTCTTGAATCAAACTGCAAAACACAAACCTACAATCTTTTTATGTAGGATAAAGAGATTATTCAACATACTTCAATAACTAAAATAATACAAATTACATGAAGGAGGAGGAGGCCAATACAGTGATTAGTTCTACTTATTTTAAAGTAGTGAAAACTACCATAATCTTGCTGTACTTGGAACTAAAAAAAGGAAGAGAGTACCTATAGTCTGACTAGACATGAAACAGCACAGTCCATGGAAGCAATGAGAGAACACTGTCCTGGCTAAGCCACAGTGTCAAGACATGAACAGCATCTCAGGTAGAATGTTTGGAAAACAACTTGTAAAAGGAGAGGAGAGCACATGGGAAAGGATGTCACTCAAAAGAGAGGAGAAATCTGGATGACAGCTCCATACAGGGGCACTTAAAAGCTTTCCACACAGTGCTCTTCTTTAACAAATGGAGGAAGAAGTAACCATTGTTAAATATAGAGGATGCTGATTCTTCAAATGGTGAATGGGAAGCCCCTGTAGAACCTGAACACAGCATTTCCAACTTCTGTTTCTGAACAAGGTGGTCACCTATTGCAAAAATTCACAAGTCACCTAAAAATGGCAAGAAATAATAAGGTGAAGAGCCAGTGGTGCATTAGAGTATGCAATCTGTGAGAAAATAAACCCCCTTGCATTTCTCCTTGATCTCTAGTCCTCAGAGATCAGAGGTGCTGGGTGCAGGTAGGCCGAATTTCTGATTATAACCAGTTTGGCCCTGTAAGTCCAGTCACATTCAATGAGAACTTCCAAAATCACAAATTCATGACTGGTGCAGTTTATTGGAGCAACAGAAATAAAGATTTGGAGCAGCCATTGATAAATGCACTTATTGCATTTGTGATAAATATATCAAGGCTAGCTGGTGATTAATTAAGCTAAATTAACAACTCAAGC